GTATTGGGTAATAATTCACATTCGCTAATGAAGTGGTTGAACGTTGTATGGCACACGTCAAACCACTAGTTTCCATTAAGGTAACACTTTTTCTAGAAATAATATTGAAAAACGGACAGCTAGAATTCAATACAAAAATAAACAATGTGCACCGTTTTGGCGTTAATTGATAAGGATGTTGTATGACATAGCTGCGTCTGACTTTAGAAGAAGAGAGAAGTCTTCACGAAAGCGATGCCAATTTGGAAGCATGCACACCAGCCACGGTGTGTACACGAGCGGCCTTTATTTTATTCTGTGTATCAACGGTCGTGGCAGCTCTTGTCTGCCGATTCATGCTCGACTGGAAAGCTCACTTCCCAAGTTATTGCCTCTTGAACAATGGGACCATACTTGAAATCAATTCGTCAAAAGTGGTTCAAGGCAGCACCTACTGTCGCCGAATTCTGCCATAAAAGACGTTTGCAGCCATCAGCATCAGGCACTTACTGCATATTATAGCCCTTACTGATTAGACACAGTAGTGAAATGAATACATACTATATATATATATATATATCAGAGAAAAATGTCCTTTTATCTTTCTCTTTAACAAGAATTTGCTCTCGACATTTATTGTCTTTGTTAAGGTAATCTATGAGACAGCATTATGCGATATGTATGTTTGCTTGGAAGTTGGAGTGGGTCTGAAGAGTTGCATTAGATTCTATTCTTCGAAACCTCTGGATGGGATCTGCTTGTCATAACATACCCACTCGTTTGGATACGATAGGCCTAGGTGTTCACGTGTAAGTTTGACAATTTGTCTCATATTTCCTTCCAGTCGTGGTATACACTTCTAAAATGGGAATCAGTGGGTTAGTGCATGATAAGGGGATGTCAGATGTTCTCCTTATTTTGCAACCCGCATGAATGAAGGCACTGGAGATGAATAGAGGAATAGGTGAGAATGCGTAGTCTAGGTATTGAAGGATGAATAAAAACATATAGGCTCAGGGAAGATGAGTAATGAAACTGAATAAATGGGCGCATAGGTGGATAGATCAGGGATGTTCAGACGAAAAGGCATACAGACGCAATCCCAACTAGACAGCTAGGGACCCTTGCGGCGGTCCTGCATCTCCACCAGCAGCAGAAGCAACATTTACATGACAGGAAAAAGCAAACGACTCCAGCTTCTTCCTCATTACATTCCATCTCATATTCCCTTGTCATATCCGTTCCAACTCCTCCGCGAACCTTTTCACATGCCTCTCATTCTTCATCACAATACTCTTTAACCCCCTCGCTTCCTTCATTGAGGATGCCTGCAGTTCTGCCCTCTTCGCAAACCTCGTCCTTAGACCAAAGGCGATGGATTTAAGCTCAGGGTACTTGCGAGCCTTCTCTGGCATGGTCTCGTCTATCCTACCGATCCCGTCGTCGGTCACGGTGATGTTGGTGGTAGATTCAGTTGTGAGCCTCTCGTCATGCACGACTCGACACCTAAGAGTACCAGTATCATCTACGACTCCTCAGCGGTCATACAAGCCAACTCAGTGTCGACCTCGGGGATGACTACATGGACATCCTCGGCCTCTACCTCCACCACCAACTCCCCTTGATGGGCCGGAAGTTGCTGACACCGATTTTCAGCTAGTGCGGAAGAAGAGAAGAGCCTAAAAGTAAATCCATCATAGACAATGTGTTTCAGTTTTCGACCAATGGCACCAACATTGGCGTTGCTCAGTCAGTCAATTTTACTGCTGTTTAAGAGCTAAAACGTTG